TACGTATTATCTCCTCTCGTCATGGCTCCTTTCATACTCAATCCTTATGTGCTCTCTCCCAATGTCATCAATCCATACGTACTTTCACCACTAATACTCAGTCCACTTGTTTTATGTCCTGATGTGATATCACCAATGGTACTGGGTGGTTCTATACTTTCACCTGGTGTGCTATCACCTTCGGTGCTTTCGAAAAGTTTCTTGATGGTTTCCGTTCTTTCACCCTCAGTCTTATCATAACAATCGTGTCGTGTTTTTTCTATTTTGTAATGACTCACAAATGCAGGTTCATTGTTAATATTTATGAATAGCTCAATGGTTATGCAATTTTCATCTTACATATTGTAGGATGCTAGTCTCAATTATTACTTGGCCCAATTAAGAGCATTTTATACTCTTAGACTTTAGTGCAGTTGCAGAACCACTCCTAATTCTCAGAACTTCACAATTGTATCAGAACAGCCGATCAAAGAGCCATGCTCAATTCGCATTATAATGAGCTTTCAAGCTGTACATGGTAATGACGGTACTGTTCTTCTACTATGTAGATCTCGTAAGGATCATACGCTTTATACAGTACTACTTGTAGGTTGAAGTACTAAAATTAGAATCAGCATGCAGGCAATGTAACTTTTGGCATGATGTCATAATGTAAAACATGCGATTCTCGAAAGCCATTGTTAACATCAACTAAGATTAATTTGAGTAAATTAGTTTGGAAGCATTAGACATTAGGGATCTTATGCTATTTTCCCAAAAAGCCAAGACAGGCTGACCAACATCTCTGTTCCGCTTTTATTCCTTTCCTTTTACGACTATTCTGTTGATTTGCCAAAAGTGGGTCACAATTTTTGTTAACAATAGCTAAAACAATCTCTGTGATGAAATCTGAAAACTAAGTTAATGTCAATGAGGTTGTTAACATCCCCAGCCATGACTAAACTGAATAAACTGATTTAGGCATAAGGGATCTTATTGCTCAACATTGCATAACCATTGTGTATTCGATCCAATGTTATTAAATTCATAAATCCTTTGTTGTGATTTGTTATTTTCCCAGACAACTTCAAAAAAAAA